AGCCCGCGTTCCCCCCCAGCCCCTCAGTCCCCAGCAGCCGCGGTCCCTCACAACCCCTCAGTCACCAGTGGCCGTGGTCCCTCATGTCCCTTTTAGTGGCCAGCAGCCATGGTCCTTCATGTCCCCCTTAGTCAGCAACAGCCGTGGTCCCTCACGTCTCCCTCAGTCACCAGCAATCGTGGTCTGTCACTTCCCCCAGTCACCAGTGGCCATGGTCCATCATGACTGCTCAGTCACTTACAGCCATGGTTCCCCCACAACCCCTCAGGGACAGTATTCCCATCAGCTGGGGGAGAGTGCTTTCACAGGCTGTCACCCGTGGCCGTGCTCATTCCAGTGAAATGTCCCCCTGCGCCTCAGCCTCAGAGCTGCCGCTGCCTGTCGCTGCTGCTCAGCTCTGCCACGAGTGTCACCACTGTCCAGCCTGCCACCGGCTGCTGTGGCATCACCAGTGGCTGCACTCCATCACTGACTAATGTCACACCAATTTGGCAATCCCAGCAGATGACAAAAATCATAGATAAGAAGTGACTTTACTGTCATGAGATACAATTAATAATGTGGGAACCCCCCTCTTTCAATCCCAGCTATTACCGTAAGCTTTTATATTGTAAATCTGATGTCAAATATCCATGAAACAAACTCACGGAGGAGCCTGCTCCTTGTCTGAGCTTGAGCTGTGTTGTGTGTTCTGCTAATCCTGACAGCAGGCACCTGCCGTTCTGCTCTCTGTAACCCTCTCCACCTTCCCATCCCTGCTGCTATTCTACTGTACCCTCTCGTCACAGTCTTCCTTTCTCCATTTTTCTGTCCCACCCCGGCTCTCCTCCTGCCTCGCAGCTTCATGGCCTCATCTCAGCATTTTGTGCAGATTCAAGTGACACGTGCAGGTAAGTTTCAGACTAGGGCTGAGAAGACCACAGTGGCTTCAACCCACGGATGCCTCCTAGTCCAGGGAGATGACCCAGGCCCACTGCCACGCACACAGTGGAGAAAGTCTCTGCTCTGAAGAACCTGCCATCCGAGCAGAAGAGCTGGAGCTGAAACAACCTGCCTGCACGGAGACCCCTGACACCGCACAGAGGCCCCCTGACAGCTGCACAGAGACCCCCCCCAACACTGCCCAGAGCCCCCTGACAGCTGCCAGGAACCCCCCGACAC